CCAATCCAGTGTATTGAGATCAGTGTCTGGCTTCACATTTAAAATCAGCCTGAGAGAGAGCGAGAGAAGCAGGCGACGATAAACAGACGATTTCAACACCAACATCCGCTCATGAGCACAAACTACACAGGTGTCCCTCTCTCAAGATGAATCTGCATGGATCTCGGAGCATTTCACAGTCTTGCATAGTATCTCTGATTGCGGGGGACTCTGATGGCAGACAGACGGACAAACGTGACGAGTAAATCGAGGCTGTCGAGGTGGATGAGGCTATTTGAAGGTTGACTTCAGCTCTTTGAAAGCGGCTTGTCTTTGTTTCCTCTCCTCCGCCTGACGCTTCTTCTCTTCCTGCTCCTGACGGATTTCTGCCTCAAACCGGTTTGATTCGTTAATGGCCTGCACCTGTCAGAGACAAATATACATTTTTAGGTAATCCTAAATTGAATTTCCTTATCAGAGGCATTCAATACAACCTATCTAGGCAGGAAATTACAGTTATAGAGCTGTCATAGACTAAGAGGGGTTTACAAATATGAATGAATGAATATGCTGATGGTTAAAACTGAGGATTTATTTCACTTATGGGTGGAAACAAAAGTATTAAATGTCATGATTCTTTACCTTTGCCTCAAAGAATGTTTTGGCTCCCTTCACTCCCTCAGTTGACACGTCAATCTCTGACAAACGTGCCAAGACATGAAGCCCGCTGTCCTCTGCCAGCTCTCCTGCTGCTGCTTTTCTGAAGATAAGAAGAAACTAGAGAGAAAAAGAGGAAAGAAGGTGATTAATGGGGGAATATAAGTAGTTTCCTGCTCTTCATCATGTACTTCGTTGCTGTGAAATACAGCCAAATCTGCAAACAAATTGTTTCATGTTTTGACATACTGACGCATTTACCTCTCTAAAGCTGAGTTTGCCATCAAAGTCCTCATCTACTTCTTTGATCATGTTCTTCAGGCCCAGGTGAGTCTGAGGTGCTCCGAGTTTCTCCATCATCAGCTTCAGCTCCATCAGATCGATGAAGTTGTCTTTCTCTAAATCATACCTGCACACACACAAGCAACCAAGTTATTAAAGCATAAATATCATGTAAAACAGGACTTCTTTTGAAATAAATGTTCCTGAAAACACAAGGAACAGCCATCTCATCACTGGTGATAATGCTGTAATGTCTCCGGTGATCAACAGAGGGCAGTGCAGATAAATAACTGGGCCCTCACTAGCAGGAATACCTTATCAGGACTATTGGAACATCTTTCACTTATCTTACCAACTGTTCATATATTTTCAGCTTATTTCAATTTAAAGATAATTTAAATAAATAAAAGGTTAAAAAAAGCCATTCTTGTAAAAGTGTTACCAGTGAGAACTCAACATCAAATCATTAAAAAGACTTTAATCTGGGAAGACACTAAATATAATTTTATTTAAATGAAAACTCCTGTGAAGTGCAGATGTACAGCCAAAAAAAAA